CCATGTAGCACATGGCGGACAGCATCGCCACGATACCCCCAATGAGGTACGATATCACGACACCGGGGCTGGGGGGAGGACAGGGTCCGCAAGGGGTGGAGGGTGAGGGTTGCAGGGATTATGAGGAGGCAGGTGGGGTTGAACCGGGGGTGAGAAGGGGGCGGGGCAGCAGAGTTGGCAGAGGTGCTGTGAGGAGGAGGGTGGGGGCCCACGAGGTGGGGTCGAGGCCGCAAGGAGGGCGGGGGTGACTGCCTGGGGCGCGAGTCATCCACGCCGTCGCGGCGCGCCGCCAGGGTCGTCCTGGTCCACCCCTCACCCGGCATAGTTCTTCGCCACCACGCCTGCACAAGAAAGCGAGCGCGGGGCGCAGGGCGGTGAGGAAGAGAGGAGTGCAGGGGCAGGGGCGCCTTCGTCACACTGGCTGTATGACTCACCACGGTGCAGGACGACTCACTACAATGTGATGCGGTGGGCCGTCCGCTGCCTGCACCATGCTGCCCAGAAGGGGAGCACAACTACGGGGTCGTGCGCAAAACACTTATGTGGGCGGCAGGGGCTGCGACGCCGGCTGGCCGTTGCGAGCCTTTGCGAGGCAGTGGCGGCAGCCTGGGGCAGGCCCACGCACCCGTCAATACGAAGATGCCGGAGCCGACGATGGCTGCGGTGGACATCATGGTCAGGCCAAACAGCCCCATCACCTGCGAGCCAAGGAGAGGCGTGCATCAGGAAGTTGCCTATGCATCGGGGGTGTCGTCTCGAGTAGCGTTGAGGGCACGCAGCATGCGCAGCGGGCGTCGGGTGACACCGCGCAGCGGGACGCCCACCTTCTTGAGCTGTGTCGTACCCTCACGAGGCGCCTCGTGAGGCATACCCCCACCGATTCGACTCATCCAGCTTGGCCCGTGGAAGAGGTGGTGCGATGCGGCTCGCACTGCCTGCTGGCTCTTGATGCGGACAAGGTCCGCCGGCATGGTTGCTGCGTCGTAGGCGCTTGAACTACACGATAGTCTGGGATCGCACGCCGGGCCGAGGCGCGTGGGCCTGAACCTGACTGAGTTGGCACGTTACTTACTTACCAGCGGAAGCAAGTGGGACCTACTTGGAGGTGCCTGATGGCTCCAAGAGCCTTTGAAATTGCTCGCAATTCCAAGCTTCGCGGGTGCACAAGCATGGTGGGTGTCACCCGAGGCGGTGCTACCAGCGCTGAGCTGGATATCCAGTCCACCTGCACCTGTGGCACAGTACAACAGGATGAACCATGTGAGGGCCACAGGGATGTCGAGAGCCAGTGTGGCGCAGCAAGCGATCTCCCCCTGCTCCAGACATCAATGCGCACGTAACGAAGCGCGCGCGGCGACGGTGGCACCCAAAGCAAGAAGCCACGCACACAGAGTACGTAAATGGAGGGTGAGGCGCGTCGCCTGTGGGAGCTGACAGAGCAACATTTCTTCATATTATTGTATTGATGTAGTCATAGCAGTTTACCGCTCAACATCCCCGTCAACGGCTGTGAGCCTGCGCACGCCCCGCAATCGCCGCTCTTTGTGGTGGGGGTGGGGGTGATTTCTCAGGCACCGACACGGCTGGCGCGCTGGGTGTCTCGCCTGCTTCTACTTCTTCCCCCCGTGCTCTAGCATGTCTGTCCTCCCACAGCCCTGGATCAGCTCTCTGCCCCATCAGCCGCTGGTGCGTCCTTCACCTCTCCCTCTCCCCACCAAGCGCACCGTGTACTTGTATCCTCTTGTGGAACAATGACTGCTCATTCAAGGCAGTTCAAGTACATCGTAATTTCTGTAAAACGGTATGGGGTAAATTTGTGGTGTAGGTTGCCAAGGGTTGCCTTTCTTGTCTGCGGCATTGTGTGTGTCATGACCATCGTAGAAGCAGTGACGGGCGGCTCTTAATCTGTTACGGTGCGGAGGCTCAACCACTACAGGCCTGTGCACACGACCCTGGGCACGCGGCATGCTGTGCGCTGCACGTTGGACTCACACTCTGTCTTGGCATGCAGCGTGTGACGTGCAGGGTACAGGATACAGTGCGGGCCACGCAGCAAACATATGGAATGCAGCATCCCACGCTGCATGCCAAGACAGAGCCAAGGAGTCTGCACCCTACAGTTATAACCTGGCTTCGGCATGGAGGGGTGCCTCGCCGCCAACAAGCCTTGTGGCTCGCGTGACCAGCACTGTGCAAAGAGAATACATTCACCCAAAAAAACGCGCATACACGTCAGTGCTGGTGCTGGGCGTGCATGAGTGTTGGTTGAGTGTATGCAAGTACATCACACAGCCGTCATAAACACGCCACATCAATCCGACGTGCTGCCAACCTGCAAGTCAACTTCAGGTCAACGCCATAGCGCGAGTGCGGTGAATGTGAGTTACGCTTGGAGATAGCTACATACGATCGAGTCTGGCTGGGCCTGCTCCCCAGCGCACGTGTGCCCCGCTGGAACATTAGAACCGTCAAAGCCATGCCACATCAGCAGCGCGTGGTGGGAACTTCTGTTGCAAGTCATCTACAAGGACGTCGGTAATGTGATTGCGTTGGTGAACTTTTGTATAGCAACATCGCCCTTGCGCCCGCTGTTATGCCAATACTGTATAGACGTGGATGAAGGCAAGGACGCAATACCACAGGGCTCCACGCAATCGCCACAGTCTGCTGCTCAGCCTAATTTAAAAGCACGCATTCATGCAAGGCAATCCCATCCGTGGCATGGTCCGCGAGCAGCCCTGCGCCGTGGGCCGCACTGCGCGACACGGACTCGCTGGCACCTGTGGCCGGACGCGCCGCAGCACTGCGTGCCCACGCGCCTCGCCTGCGGGTCAGGGCACGTCTGGAGGGCTGGATGACACAAGCCGTGGCATCCCCACGGTCTGGCCGCTCGCGCGTGCCTTCCAAGCCCTGTCCCGCCAGCTCCGCAGCGGCCCACCAGCGGCGCCCCTGGCACCGCCGCCTCGGACGTTGTCCAGCCCGCCACCAGCCCACGCAGAGGCCTGCCCCATTGAGTGCCTCCCCAACACACCCCTCTCCGTCATTGCCGCCCTTGCGCCCGAGCCAATTGCGTCCGCGGCCGCCGCCGTGCGCACGGCGGTGGCCGCGCCTGGCGTCGGCGACGCGCGCGGCGCGCTGCGGCGGCTGCGCGGCCGGCTTTCACCCGAGGCCTGGGCCGCGTTCTCAGCCGAGGTCGAGCGAGCGGCGCTGCGCGCCGCGCTGCAGCACCCGCCCGCAGCAGAGCACATGCTGGCGTCACTCGGCAGCATCGGGGGCAGCTTCTTTGAGGACGGGTCGGGCAGCGAGGGGGACGACGAGCCGCCAGACGCCGCAGCGCTGCACACGGGGCAGCGGCTGCAGCCCTCTGGTGCAGCCTTTGCCGGCGGGCCCATCCCAGAGCTGCAGCCGCACCGGCACTATCAGCACGCGGTGGGGTGGGGCCCGCTGCCCTCGCAGCATTCTGTTGGCGGCGAATACAACAATGTTGGCGGCGCTTATGCTGCAGACCCCGGGATGAGTGCCAGCGTGGACACCTTCTCGGCAGCTTCCCCTGTCAGCACCTGGCCGCCGCAGGGGCCAGGCTCCAGCTTTGGCGGCTGGAGCGCCCTGTTTGCGGCCGACGGCCCGCGGCAGGCGGTGCAGGAGACGGCAGCCACGGCGTTGCAGCGGCAGCAGCAGCAGCAGCAGCAGCAGCCCGACCAGCTGCTGCACATCGTGGGCGCGCACCCCATAACTTTGCTGCCCGCCTTCGGCTCCGAGGCGCAAGCCCTGCCCGGCAGCAAGACCGCTGGCTCCTCCGCCCGCACCAAGCACGGCAGCGCCAAGCGTCGCACCGCCGCGGGTCGCCGCTCGGGCGGGTCCCCGCCCGGCGGCCCGCCGCACTTCCAGCACCTCGTGTTTGGCGGCGGCGGGGCGCGCACGATCGCGTACGCCGGCGCCGTTCACGCGCTGCGCACGCTGGGGCTGGTGCGGCGCCTGGACAGCGTGGCGGGCGCCAGCGGTGGCTCCATCCTGGCGGTGATGGCGGCGCTGGACCTGGGGCCGCAGGAGGTGAGGGCCAGTGGGGACAGGGGGGTGGGATAGGGGCCGTGGCGCTTCAGAACTGCTGCGGCGGAATCTGGGTGAAATCAGGCCTTGCCATGATATCTGATGCGCTGCCATGTCCTTGATTTGCGTCATCTTGCAGCCTCTCTGCAGTGTGTCCTGGTGCGGGCCCTATCGAAATGCACCCACACCTACCCCCACAGTACACGCTCACATGCACGCACATGCGCACGCCCGCACGCGCGCGCACACACACACACACACACACACACACGCACACG